AGGGTGTATTTAACTTTCTTATTTAGGCTACTTTCTTGTTTAACTGTATTATTTCTTTGGTATTTATTTTAGTGTTTTGCAGGCTGCATATTCGCTGACTGAAGTGCTAAAATCAACATGAGCTGACGAGTTAAATCGGGTGTGTTAGAAATGAGTGAGACAGCTAGTGCTGGGCTGCTCCAGGACAGTTTGGAAAACCACTGCATTTCAGAGATATGTTCTTAAATGTGACTCATATTACAAATACATACATGCACAGTTTTAAGGTAGCTTTAATCGCCTTTTTGCTAACTTCATGACTTAACTGACCACGACATTGCATGCAGGTAGTTTATTTCACGCTTTGATATGAAAGGATACAGGCTACAGCGCGCGCCTACCGGCGCCTTTGTGCGTGCAATTGAAGAGCACGCGCTGAGAGCACAGTACCGTTTCAGCGCTTGTTTGACTGGCGCTGGAGTGAAGTGGAGCGCGCATCTGAAACGTCTCCCGTTCTCAGTCGTTCTGCGACTGAATAAAATAAATGCACTTCTTGTCAAGAGAAAAAGTGACAGAAGCAGCAGTTGTGAGTGGGGTGGCCAAGCCTAGCCCCGCCCCTGCGTTAATTGCGTTAAATATTTTTAACGAAAAAATAATCGCCTGCGTTAACGCGTTAATTTTGACACCACTAATATATATATATATATATATTAGGGCTGGTAAGCGATTAAACATTTTAATCTAATTAATTACATGATGTGGCGATTAATTATTCTAATTAATCGCACATCACATTTAGCTGAGAAATTACTCCCAAAAGATGATTTAAAGTCATTTTTGTGTAAAGCATCAAATAGACATTACAAAAAGTAGCTTCAGCAAGAAATATTTTGTTTGATCAAATTTATTACATATACTCTTTTGGACCACGAGGGTGAGTAAATGATGACACAATTGTCATTTTTGGGTGGGTGAACTATACCTTTAATAATTAATTTTATTAATATTACTATGTAAATATGAAATTATTTCTTTAATGAAATGATACTCTAAATAATATACTAAAACTGCCAGGAGGTGGTGGTAAATGTCTTAATGATTAAGTCATCGAGTCATTTATTCATTCATTTGATTAGTTCAAATGGCTGATTAATTCGGGAGTGAAGTAAATGGTTCTTTATGAATGGTCCATTAAATCATTAGGCTTGTTTGACTTGAAGCGGATCATCACCATCAGATCGATCGGTGTGTGACATCAAAGTACTGCAAGAGCTATTAGAGAGCAGACGGCTCCTTATGCTTCTGAATCGCTCTCGCGGTACTTTGTCATACACCGATCGATCTGTGCAGCGCCGCTTCAAAGCCAACGCGCCTATGGCCAATGGTTCAACGCGCCAAATGGTTCACCCAATTCGTTCAAATCGTGACCCACATAGGTCTGGGGCGGGGCAAGTGCGTTAAATGCGTTAATAATTTTAACGAGTTATTTTTCACCGTAATTAGCCTAATTAATCTAATTAACGCGTTAAATTACCAGCCCTATATATATATATATATATATAATTTAAGATGCTGTAGCGTGTCACCTCATGGCATGTCAACGTGATTCTGAAGTATAACTGCCCCTTTTGTAATTTTCAAAGCTTACACAGGGTTTTCTGGACAATAGACTGTGCAAACAAAACGCAGGGATAGTAAACACGAAGGTAAATTATATAATAATTGGGAAGTCTGTTAAACAATGATTGAAGTAATGGGATAGGAGCACTAAGGAACTCCATAAGTAAAAGACATTGTGTTGTATTAAAAAGTAGTTAAATGCATCTGTAGCAGACGGTAATAATGCATTAAAGAGGCATGTGTTGAATGTTGTGTTCACTAGAAGAAAAGATGAGCAGCACCCCAGTATAGTTGGGTACATATCTGTAATTGACAGGAAAATGACAAAGTGCTAAGAAGAGAGTGAACTAGAGACTGCTTAGTAGTCTGATGGACTGAAGATTTTTTAAAAATCTTGTGAAAACAAAACACTTCTAATTTGTTATATCCCCATATGGAATATCCATGCTGAACTGGAAACATCCGTAATAGCAAACTTGATATATGGCAAGTGTCTGTGTTAGCCTTTTTCACAATGTATTTTAAGCAACTTTAGCATACTTGATGCAAGGTCATTTTGAGCTGTAATATTTATTATAAGGTTAGTTATGTAACAACTGCCATTTTATACAGATCATGCCAAAAGAAAAGGCTATAAAACAAGATGGTTTGATCTGAATTTTATTGAAATAGTCATGTAGAGAGTGCAAAAAAATTACTTGGAAGAATATTCACATCACCAAAATCTATATAATAATAATTGGGGAGGTGGAAGCCACAGTTACAATTCACAGACATTTGCGAGGGCTTTACATGTAGACATTAGAGCTTACTTTAGGATATATTAGCAAAAGTACTATACAATGTAAAGATATATTAGTTTACATCATAAATTGAGAAAATAGAGTAAGAGAATGAGAATCAAACAAACACGTAGATGGACACATACAACAGCGAATAAAAAAGGCCAGGAAAGAGAATATAGTTGTAAAGTACTGTAGTCTCAAAGTTATGATCAATTCTCGCCCTCTGAGCATTATTATTCTCAATCAATGAAAGACTGACATGTTTGGCAGAGACTTGTTGTATAATGCGAGAATATACAATAAGAGAGATAAATGAAATGGATTTATTGGAAGTATTGAAGAAGGTAAATGATTGATGAGAGTACACAGATGCACTGCTTCAACTTCACTATCTCAGAGCAAAAATCCAAGATGGATGAAGTGACAAAAATAATAACACCCTCCAAAGTCAGTACCTGGTGAAGAGCAAATGCACAGCGGTTCTCCAAAACAGAGCAGGATGCCAACTTGTTTTAAGGGAACAAGTTTATTTAAAGGTGAATTTTTCAAGTTATATAAATTCTTGTATCCAAACCCTCCACAGACTCTACATTATAATTACTGTATGAAATTGTTATTTAGGAAACATAATAGTGTTTGCTATGATCTTGTAGCTTAGAGCAGAACCATTTGCAACCATTTATAGTGGGATAACCTTAACTGTTTTCTCTAATAATACAAAATAGTGTTCCCTATTTTCAGTTTGCTCAGTTACTTTCCTCTTTACACATAAAAAAAGCTTCTTATCCATCACATACAATCAATAACAAGGCTCTTTGCGTTGGAGCCCAAAGATCATTGTTCAGCCCCAAAACGTATGCTGTACTCATGGATCCATAATCCATATCCCAAAGATATTTTGTTACATGGAGCACATACTTTATTCTTGAGCGTTCACACTCTCTTAGCATATTTACAACCCTTTTCCTGATACACTTCCCCTTGGTGATTGGCCAGACCGCTTTGTAGACTTCTGGCCGTCACTGTTACTGTCATCGGCAGTTGGATGGCTGTGACCCTGGATGTGACTGGGTGGGGAAGGAGGTGGGTACGAGGGAGGCGGGATGGTCAGGTGTGGTAAAGAAGGCATTGCTGGGCGAGGTGTGGTGGGAAGGGGCGGTGGAGTCGAATGATGGTACGAGCGAGGTCGGGGTGACGGGGAAGAGCTGGCACTCTTTGCTCTCGGAAGGGTCTCGGGATGGTCGCTGATCTGCTCCAGCAACGAAGGCATGTCCCCCTCGATCTTCTCTAACACGGCAGCCATTTGTTTCTCAATTTGTTCGATTACACAATCCATTTGCCAATCCGCACTGGCTCCACTTCCGGGATCTAAACCAGCGTACTGTCCAACAGAGTAGGTTGGACAGTACGGGCTACCATACCCTGATGCACCATGGACCATCTCTTGCAGCTCCTGCTCAAATACCGTTTTATCATGGCCGAGACTTGAAGATCCCAATCCTGCATATGCACACTGGATGTTTTTCACAGACTGGCTACCCTTGTCCGCTTGTCCTTTCTTGAACTCTCTGCTTTTAGGATTGACCTCGCAAGTCGCCCCTACTTCCACTGGCCTCTCTGCAACTGCTTCTGGGAGCTGTGTTTGACACCAGCTATTTTTGGCCATATCATGGACTGTGTCTTTTTTGTCTTCTGATTTAAAAGGTGGTTCCTTTCCTGACAAGGTACTGGTTTTGGCATCAGAACATGAGCCATGATCCATCGAGAGATTGGCGGCCATTTTGCGTCGATTTGGAGTATCAGGGAAAGGTGATTTCTTCTCGACATTGCCAACAGTTGTGGCCTCTGGCTCCTTGGGGACATTGTTCTCTCGGTTGTCTGAGGTCTTGATAGGCTGGCTGGGTGCTGCTTTCTGGCTCGCTCTTGTTGATAGTTTGTCCTCCTTTTCAGAAGTGCCTTCGGTAGACTCTTTCTTGTTCGGCTCATCTGCTTGTACTTTTAAAGAGCTGTTTGATCTGGCAAGGGTCTCTGCTTCTTTCTCTTCTGCTTTTAGGTGTCTTGCTTTCTCCCCTTCTTGATTCTCCACAGGTCTGCTTTCGGTGGACACCTCATGGGACATGCTCACAGTAGAAATGCCGCCTGAGTCTGTTTGTATCCCTTTGCCATCTAATCCATCCGCTCTGACCCCTTCACCCTGGCCTTCAACTACCCCATCAGAAGATCCCATTTCAGAGGCTCGGAGACGCTGCATGAATGTGGTGACACGAATCGCTTTCTGAAAGTGAAATGAAGAAATACCAAACCCTTAGTACCTAGTCAATTATAAAGTAACATGAGGTCTTCTTTGCTATGGAGGTGAAATGCATTGTTAACAGCATGGCAGTCTGTGGTAGAAGTTTTCCATCTCTATCGCTTTCATGAGACAAACACATTGGAGATGTGCGTTTTAGTAATTTCATCTCTTTTTTTCAGTGTATCAAAACAACCGTTTTTTAGCAGTTAAATTAGTTCAACAGCTACAAATTACAGCTGAAAATTACTCCGGAACCCAACAATGAAATTAAAATAAGAGCCGTTTTTGGCTCATTTGTGTTTGTTACTGGCTGCTGACCTGAATGAAATGTTTTTGATATGTATGTGTCATCGACAAAAGCATGATGTGAATCAATGAATCAGGACCACGGTAAGTCATCTGAGGACAAATCACTTTACCTTCTCTCTCTCTCTCTCTCTCTCTTCATAAGAACCACTTTGGTCCTTTCTGGCACACACACAAACACAGGGACAACCTTTCATACACATACATGTGACATTACAATGAATATTCAATCTGGAGATTTGTCTGAGTGAATGAAGGACTAACTAGAATTTAAACTGGAATATTGAGGACACTGTGAGTAAAAGCCAGACGGCATATGACTGAATGCACATGGGACCAGCTGGGCAGTGATAAATTTGTTAGTTACTGGTGTGCAGATACAGGGAGGCTTAAGTACAGTGAGAGTCTTTCCAACAATCAGACTTGAACTACATATTTCCTGAATGATCTCTGCTTGAAGAATCAGGCCAGGCCATGAGACACAGTAGCCATGTATTATCGTACACTAGGTTTGATGCTAAAGGAAATATGATTGCCCAAGTCAAAGATTGTTATACAGAGAAAAGAATCTCTGCCTCTAGGCTGCCCCGCTAATATCAACAGTACCTTCAACTCCTGGGTATAACATGCAAGGAAAAAGCAAACATTAATATAATAACCATCAGAACCTTTATTAAACAACAGCTTTATTTGGTATTACCATCTTTACAGTTACCGTCCTTATCCATTATCCTATTATTTATTGTGCCGTTTTCTAGAAGAGTGATTAATACAATCATTAGAGGCACATGGCAAGTTGTACATGACTTTTGTGTGTGTAGATTCCTCTTACCCTCCACTTGGCCTTTGCAAAGTTTTTCTCAAATTGAGCACAGACTCCTTCCTTCAGATTCTTTTCCGAAGCCCCATTTCCAGCAATCCTGGCCAAAAAGAAAAAGAAAAAAAAAAACATTAAGTTGACATGTTGTCTCTGAAAAAAGCAACTGTGTGTTTGAGTTTGTTTATTTGTATATAGCTTTACCATTCATGCGAAAGTGCATCTTGTGCAGTAATTCTCAGCATTGGGTCAACGTCCATAAGTCTGCAGACGAGCTCTTTTGCTGCATGACATTAAAGAGAAGAAGACTGAAGGTTTAAAGCATCAAAAACAAAAATGACATTTTAATTATTACTAGTTTTGATGAGATCAGGAACTTATCAGATCCTGATATTAGTACCAGCAGGGGAAATTTCATCCCAGTATGGTGAATCAAATTCAAATTCTCCAGCAACAATGCGGCAGAAGATTATCCGGTTGTGCATATCAGTGTTCTCCTCCTCAGTTTCATCATAGAACGGAGGGTTTCCAGACAACCTACAAATGAGATTTGTATGATTTGCATTATGTACGGTGGCCGAGAGAGATCAACAGGCTGCAAATAAAAAAAAAACAGATGCAAATAGAAAAAACACCAACAAATTAAGAAAACATCTTCATCAGTTTGTCAATGGCTGCATCCGAAAACTTAGGCAGTTAGGCGTTTTTGCACGAAGGCACCTCATGAAACTGATTTCGGACAGCCTTCTGAGGCAGCGTCACGGTTCAATGATCTACAACAAAATAGAACAAGTTTTGGTGATAACTAAACAAATATTTAATTACTATAATACTGATTTCTCGCTAGAAATAACATCAAAAGTGCAAAAAGTTAGCCAGAAATATACAATTACACACAAACTGACCACCAAACGCAACTTTCAGATGCCATCTTTATTTTTTAGCTCAACCGTCACAGAATGAAACGCACAGGATTGTGGGATATCAAAGGCAGCGAAAGATACATCTATGCTGCCTTCAAAATTCGATCAGAAGAAGGTACCTCCGGAGACAGGAAGTAAAGCAGAATCTGGATTCGGACGTGCCTTGATGCCTTCCTGCCTTGGAATGCTGCCTCCGAAGGCAGCATTTTAGAGCTTTTCGGACGCAGTAAATACATGTGCTGCAAATACTCACAACACAACCAAATATAGAAACACACTGCAAATACGCACAGACCACAACAGAATGTTTAAGGGAACCGCAACAAGTGACGAACCTGGCTGGGACATGTTTATCAATGTCTGTTCAGAAAGGTGAGATTTTTGTTTATTTTAACATCCTGATCATATGAGTCCTTAGCTTTTTGCATATCATTAGCCTAAATAAGCTGACAAAATACACAATTACTGTCTGTGAAACCTTATGTAAACTGGCTGGCTAATTTTTACAACTTCCCCATGATCATTTACAATGGTTTTATTATTAAAAAAACAAACAAACATGGTTACTATAGTGAAACCATGGTATTTGTACAGCTGTGGTTATACAAATGGTAATCAATATGCAAAATAAATAAATAAATAAAAAGCAAAAAAAAACAAAAACATGGTAACTACACTTTTACTATAATAAAACCATGATTAATTTTCGTAAGGGTTGTTGGGGTCCCCTTGAAACATTTCCATTGGAGTCTGTGCTACTTGCAACACTTTTTGTATTTGGTCTAATTGTGCGTATTTGCGCATTTCTGTATTTGGTTGTGTTGTGAGTATTTGCAGCACATGTGTTGTCAAACTGATGAAGACGTTCTCTTAATTTGCTGGTGCTTTTTCTATTTGCATATGTTTTTTTAAGTTGCAGGGTGTTGAGCTCTCTTGGCTACCGTAATTATGATCTGTTATGTTGAATCCATTAGTATGTATGTAGGAATATATGCTGTAGATTTACACAAGTATTTTAAATCAAGGTTTTTCAAACTTTTTGGTGCCGTAGATACTGTCTATAACTATAGGCAGACAGTTTTTTTAACCGTTAAAAAATTGTGATGTCAAAATAAATGGTAAATGTGTTGCTGTTTTGGAACAATGTGCATTTTTGAAACACTAAACAAAAAAATATTAAAAATTAATCTCATGATTTCTGACCAGTCTTCAGAAAGCAGAAAGCCACAAACTACTGTTTTAAAGAACAAACATATAAATAAAATAAAGAATCGCTGACAAACCAATTGAATCTCAACAGAGTGTATCCAACTCCAACTTACAGTATGTACATAATGACCCCCACTGCCCAACAATCGACTGGTCTTCCATAGCGATGACGAGCCACCACTTCAGGAGCTAACAGGAAATATGAGAAACAGTTGTGAAGGTTAGTGCTTCACATACAAGTATAGGTAAATCAAGAGATCATGTGATAAATACCCAGGTACTCGGGTGTCCCGCAGGGCTCAGTGATTGATCCGTTCTCAAACCTGGACAGGTAGAAATCCCGCAACACGACCTTGTTGTGGTTGCTCTCTCTATAGTACATCAAGTTCTCCAGCTGAAATGACAGAAAAAGGCACAGGATAAAAAACGAAACAAACAACAACAAAAAAATCAATACTTTATAGGAGGAAAGACATGGCATTAGGCCAAAGTATGACTGATTAAGAGTTCGCTGTGTCCCAAATAATGTTGATATTCGTCTTTCAGCTGGCCAACAGAGACCAGACAGGACACACCCTTCACCTGCTCAATGTGAAGAATGAGTTTTGTCTTTAAAAGATAAATCTGAAAACACACAGCTGACCAACTACATATAATATATGAATCTCAGTCTGTGATATTTCAAGCACAAGCCTTAAAAAGAAATGCATCAAAGCTATATCTAAAAAAAACACCCAGGAGGCAATACAGAATAATGCATTACTGACAAGAATGAGCTTTGAGCAAAAGAGATGCACATATACATGTAACAGAGAATGTCTGATGCTAATATTGTGCACAGCGTGTTGCTGCCGTGCACTAGAGGGCACTACAAACACATGTTGTCTCATGACAAACAGCATCATAACCTTAATTGCTTTAGAACCACGGGGTGGCAATACTGTTTATTACTTTCATATTTGTTTTGAACATTAATGACACCCACAGGGAGCATCTGCAATATTACAGATGTACAGTGCTATGAGTCAAAGAGGACTAGGCGTTTGATTAATATAACTGATTATCATTTAATACTCAGCAGACAAAAACATCCCCAGCACACACATACGCAATAACATGTGTTAACACCGAGTTACAGCCTTATAATCATACATTCAGACTGTTTATTCAAGTACAAAAATGAAGCAAAAGTACAAGGTATCATTACAAAAGTCATACATCAGCCCAGTTGCATTCCACTTAATGCATATGTTGTTGCACTCCGTTATTGAATTATACACAATGCATATGGACTGCACATATGTACTTTTCATTGATGAATAATATCATATTATGATTGCAAACCCACCTTTAAGTTCCTGTGGACTATGTTGAGCGAGTGAATGTATGACACTGCTTCTAAGACCTGACGGATCACATTGGCGGCATCTCTCTCTGTGTAGTTCCCCTGGTCTAAGATCCAATCAAACACATCTCCACCTGTAGCTCTGTGAAAAAAATAAATAAGAGAAAAGAAGGGAGATCCGGATGTACTGTAAAGTTAATTCTTATTTAATCAACAGTAAGGATGTTTTTATACACTTAAGTTAAGGATGGGGCCACAGAAAACTGGAGCCTTGAGCTGAGCGGTGGCCTGGTCAATATAATAAATGATCAGGGGTGGCACTGGCAATATATTAAATAATCAATTAAAATCAAAATCCTTGTGGTTAATCACCAAACATAAATCAGTAAGTAAATGATAGCATATTAGAAGGATTTTGGTTAACCATTACATAAAAAAACCTGGCCAAATTTGCCAAATCTAGCTGCATTCATAAAGAAGGTGTGCAGTTTTTAAATGTCACATTGTTTATAAATATATTATAATATAAATATACTAAATAGAATTTATTTATTTATTGACAAATTTAAAACTACTTCTAAGTCATAAATTTAATTCTGGATCAGAACATTTTTGCTAATACCTAAAGTGGTGCACAAATTTGAAACAGTAAAATCTTCTCAAACTCTTATGATTTCAACAAAATATTATGTTTACTTTGGGGGTATTTTTTTGAAATAACAACAGTTTGAGAAGATATTCAAAGATTTTACAATCTAACATTTGTTCATAACTTTAGTTACTAGCAAAATGTTCTGATCCAGCCTCACATTTATGACTTAGATTTAGTTTTAAATTTAATTTACAATGAAGACATTTTTATTTATATTTAATATATCATAATATTTGAATGCAATTCTACATCTGACTTCATGTGCATCTAATGTAGTGCAACTCTGACAAACCTTTGCCACCAAAATGACATTTGAACACTACAAATATTTCATTTGCAGAATACTAGATTTGCAACCAGCATCATGCAAGCTAAATATAACAGGATCTTTAAGATTTAAATGGAAATGATAAATGACTAAATATCTAGAAACTATATTTTCTATCATAGTAACTCATTACTGCAATCTTAATAGCTGTAATAGCATGTCGGTGTCATTCATGCAAAAGCAGATGACAGGGTTTTAATAGATCTTAGTTCTGGCTAGATGTGGATATGAAGAAGTGCATTTTCTAGAGTGATGTTCTGATGTAAAGAGACTTGTCCTTGGCCTACTGAATGACACTGGGAAGGGAACATGACTGATCACGGGCAAACGGAGGTCAGACTCACAGCTCTTGTATGATGAAGAACTCTTTCCTGGTCTCGAATGCATCAATCAGCTGCAGGATGTTTGGGTGTTTGACCCTGGAATGAACACACCACGGCAAAAAGCTGAATAGTTTCTCTATCTCACATTAAATAGAGAAAAGTGTTTCAAAAAGAGTGAGAAAGGACAGAAATAATCACACCAAGGGTGATACATACAGCATCTCTTACCCTCTCCATCCTTAAAGGAGCAGCTCACCCTGCTACATTTTCAATTTTGTGCTCCAGAGTTTAAAGAAAATTTGAGGTTTGAAATGACACGAGGGCAGAATTTTGATTTCTGGGTGAACTATCCCTTTAAATTTTCTCATTGTCCTCTCAGATTAGCACTCTCACAAAACCCTACATCATCTGTTGATATTTTGAGTCACCACGTACATTTTCAAGATCATGATCTCGTTCTTGGCTGCCTTCCGCACTTTCCTGCCATCCTTCTTGAGGAATTTCTTGCACACATAGACCTTGTCCGTCTGTCGTTCCTTTACCAGGCACAGCTCACAAAATTCTTTTCTGCAAAGAGAAATTGAAATTCAAAGAGAATGCTGCATTTTATGCTGCAATAAATACCCCTTATGGTTGTAAATCGGTTGTTTTAAGAAGCACACTGCTGTGACAAACACCTATGTATTGGGAGAAATGCATCCTGAATCAAAGTTTAATGAGATCACGTGTCTATAATTGATGGATTGGCTTTCTTAAGGCTTTAATTGCAGATCTATGCACACTCACGCCTTGAGGACCTGTCCAATCTCGTATTTGTCAGTGATGTCTGACAGGCTGTTGTATGACCGCCCATCTCGCAGAGCAAGGCACCCAAATGGCATGACAGCATCCACCTGTCCAGAGGAGAACAAGCATACACATACACACACAGCAATCAATCTCAATAAATCTAATGTCATGCACTCTAGAGGAGCATGTGTCTTCACAAACTAGCCTCACCAAGACAGGTCCCACACAGAAATGGCGGAATCCTATTTAATGCTGTTTCAACATGACTGAAAAGAGATTTGTTTTGTTTTGTTAAAAAAACTAATTAAATATTTTTGGAACATTAACTGGAAATAGTGGACATTATTCACCCAACATGTGCAGAACAATTTCTGTGTAAAACATTCTTGTGAAACAATCCATTCCATTACACAGAAATTCTTTCTGCTTATGAATAAGGCCCACTGATTATAGGACACTTACTGGAACAAGGGTACAAAATAGATTTGGAAAGTCTTAGAAACTATGAGGTTTTTTTTTCAACAAAGAATTATTAAAAGGAGATATGTTTAGCCCTCAGAAATGTTTTTAAGGAAATCTGACAAAATATTATATTACATTTATTTTCCATTCATTTTGGGTTAACAGTTTTTTTCCCTGTTTGGGGCATGTCTGAACATAGCATAAAATGCTGATTTGTGTGATTTCATTATATTCTAGCAATAAAATTAAATAAATAAGTGAAAATTGATAATGTATCAGGGTTGTAAATCACAGGTTTGCAGATTCTGCCTAGATTAAGCTGTCTCTCACTAGTGGCTAGCTAGTTTGGGACCAAATGTTAGTTTTGTTAGTTAATAATAAACTTATATTTCCCATATTTGCATAATAATAAACAGCATGCTTTTGTCTCTATTAAAAATGCAACATCACATAAAATTGTCAAATACACACACACACACACACACACGTCTGGTTTGCTATCCTTGTGGGGACTCTCCATAGGCGTAATGGTTTTTCTACTGTACAGACCGTATTTTCTATTGCCCTACACCAACCCTACCCCTAAACCTACCCCTCACAGGAGACTTTCTGCATTTTTAGATTTTCTAAAAACTTCATCCTGTGTGATTTATTAGCTTGTTTACAGAAAATTAGCTCAATTTAGGTCCCCACCATGACACGAGTCCCCATGAGTCTGTGTGTATTCAGGTTTAAGTCCCCACCAGAAATATACATATATATATTGTAGTAATAGATAAGAGTTAGCACTCCAAAGAACACAATTTTGCTTCAATTGCTAAAAGAAACTGAAATCTCTCTTTGTGTTACATTCTAAAGAATTTTCTGATGTATTACACAATGACAAGATCAGAAATATAATGCTCAAGTGAAAATAATTCAACAGATGGTTGAGAGGACATGTTTGTCTGTGCAGAGAAAAAGAAGACCTTTAAGACTGATGGTATCAGTGAGGAAGAGCGTGAAGAGAGTGACAGCATCTTTATCAGAAGGGAGAGCGCTGGTCTGTTAGCTGTGTAATCCAGCTCCGGCTCCTGCCCCTAATCCCTAATCCCTCACATGGATCCATGCAAGGGAGGGGTTGGCATACAGTAGGAGAGGTCGGGAACAAGTGAAATATTACATAACCGGAACACTATGTAGGACTATGCTGATTTCACGCTGAATATCTGATATGAAGCAATGAACTGGCATATTGTTTTGTCTGCTTAGAAAAAGAAGTGAAGAATTTAAAACCATCGAGGCACTTCCAGGCTTGTGCTTGACAGCTGTTCATCCTACAGCAAAGTCAACATGGCATTTTTACTCGTACTTCTGAGATATCATGTTTGTTATATTTGCATAGCTATTTGTGTTATCTGCCTTCTGGTACCACACAAACAACCCAATAACAGTCAGTTAAAATGAAATTGTGTCATGATGATTTGTATGTGACAGGCCTGTTAGAACATTTCCGCATTTCAATAAATAAGATATGACACCCAAAAAAACATGTTACAAGAGCGCACTGCTAGTCATAGGGCTTGTGTCTAAATTAAGATGTAGTCAAGATGAGAACAATGTTGTGGTGTTGTAAATTTTGACTTGATAATATTTCATATGCAGGTCGCAACAATAACAAAAACATGCTCACCCATTAATAGAATATAAGAAACTACAATGGACAGATTTTTTAGAAAGCAAATGAAAATATTTTCAAAATCGACTAGTTTCCTGAATTGGCTGGTTTCGGGTTCACTTGACCCCAGTCAGACACATTTCCCAAAGGGTCCTTTACATAAAATGTCTTCTTGTGTTCAAATTTAACTAAATGGGGCACAACAGAATGAAACGGAACTCATGGCTCTCCAGACGTGTTTCAAAAAGTTAAACTATTTTTAACTTGACATGCTATCTTAAAAATGTAACACTCATGTAAGAGCTGTGGCACAGAAGGTAGTGCGTTGCTTCTGAAATATAAAAGGGCTGAAGAGCTTGTGGGGTTTGAGTTTGGCCCAGACCAAATCCCACTCTCTTTCCTCCTCTTTCTCTCTGTACATGGCACAATATTCTCAAAATGCAGTGGCCACTTTTGCAAGAGGATTTTATTATGTACAGCAACAGCAAGATACAATTTTATAATAATAAATAAATAAATAAATATTTATTTACAAAAATAAATTACAGTTTTAAATAAATAAATTAGAAGCATGTTTTAATAATTTTATAACAAATATTTATTTATAATAAATAACTCTATAATAATAAATAACTTTAAATTATATATAGATAGATATTAACATTTAAATAAATACATTTTTTATTTAAAGATAGGCCTACATGTAACATTTTTAGCAAAACAAAGAGCAAGTACATCATAAAACCATCTTCCAAACTGTGTTTTTGCCTTACCCTAAATCACAATGGCAAGCCAATAATAATTAATATTTTAGAGCTGACAGGACAGAAACGGCATATTTTCATCATCCGTCCATGTGTTTATGTCATATCTGTAAATAAAGGAAAGAAAACTACTACTAAATGAAGTGAAAATAGCTTAAAGCCACAACAACTGAATCTAAAAACCAGTTACTAGTTTGGTCTATTTGCTTACAAATAGCCTTGCCAAGTCATAGTTTCCACCATTATCTGATATAAATAGCAGTCGTTATGTCTAATTTTATTTTAACTTTTATAACATTATTTTAAAACTACTGATTTCAACAACGTCAGAACACTGACAGCATTGACAGCAACTTACCTTAATAAGACCTTTTTTGCATATCCGTCTTTTATTAAATGGGAGAGTTTTGATGTTGTTAGTGACTGATAAGGCGATCATCTGTAACTAGCGGTGCGTCTCAAACCATCAGATTCATCCACACAGTATAGCTATGCCGAAACTCTAGCTTTAAATATTTTTTAAATGAAAAAATATAAATAAATAAGACTAGTCATTGGGGGATGACTAGCTGACAACTGTGGCCCATCTGTAATGCAGAGGAAGTTATACGTTTTGAGCCAGAGCTGCTACTTTCATCCTACAGGCACTTTTTAACACTCTTTCCGCATGGCATGAACGTGCTGACAAGATATATTCACAACGAGTGTGGATTCCTTCCGGAGATGGATGCAAATACAGGAGGTGACATGCTTACATTAGGGTAGTGATGCGCATGTTTTGATGGGAACCTTGCACTGGAACAATGGATCACATCTGTCAGCTCTCGCTCATTATTTGCACTCAACACGAGCGCGTGCCCTGCGTTACAGGACTCAGGTGCACCGTAAATACATACTGAACCGCACATCATTCTCTCTTGTAGGGAAGACTTTGTTAATGTTCCATTATGAGATGCGGTGTGGATGAAGGATTACTGTCTGAAAGCTTGTGATTTCTCAAATCAGTTCTAGCAAAAATGTATGTTGTTTTAATTGGGGTCCATGCATATTCATAATGGCTATTTTTGCACATGCCCACGCCTTACATACACACACCCATCTTTGGGTCCAAAATTAGCATTCGAACATTCTCCCAGCTCGCAGAAGGCAACGCGTCCACTGGAGACAGAGTTCAAGAAAGATACGAAGACAAAGACGAGGCAGCGACAAAAGGCTCGAGGGGTGCCTTCTACAAAGACGAGCTTGCAACAGATGCCTCCCTCCATCATTAAAGACCATAAGACCCTCAACCATCAGCCTTCCCCAAGACGCTTCTCTGTAAAGCTGCGCTCTTCTCTCTGCTGTCTGTACTGCTCTTATTAAAGCAATGAATCTTCATCTCCAGAGACACACACATTAAACACCAGATCCAATCCCACAGGATGGATGAGAGGAGCTGTGCTGTTCTCCAAACACATCTGAACCCAAACCCACACACACACACACACACACACACACGTAAGCAGGCACACACACCTCCTCACAATCCAGCACAGCAACAAGTTCAAAAGTCACAGCATGGAGCGTAGAAGTTTGATGTCCTCCCTTCTTCCCCTTGCTTAATCTGGTGCTAAATTATAGCGTGCAGTCCCGTGTTCATGTCCACCTCTCACAGACAAACACAATAATCATTATCATCCTGCTGGGTTTATTATGCATTTGGTGTTCTGAAACAGAATTTTGTCACTGCTAGACGCAATATTTGCCAGAGCCTCGGCTCAAGCCTCAGATGTAATGAAAATATTGAGAAAAGACTCATCCGAAATAGTAAAGCAAATATTCTGCCTTCAGTTCAGCTTCTTTGTTACAGTTATCATATACATATACAATGTCATGCTTGGGAATATTTTCATGTGGAATCAACAACTGTATCACAGAGCGCTGTAAGGGAAATGTAAACAGGACACCATTTACACTTGTGATAGATCAGAAGTAGTGTTTTTTCTTCCGTACTTTTATATACCGGTACATCAAAATGAAACAAATTATTGAAAAGGAAAACAAATGTAGGGTGGGGACTCCGTTGTTAATTGAATGTAGGCAGATCTGAATGCGAGGTTGCAGTCAGTTGTAAGAAAGTGAAGTGACGTGTGGCCAAGTATGGAGACCCATGTTTGGAATTTGTGCTCCGCATTTAACCCATCCAAGTGCACACACAGTTATGAATACACACACACTGTGA